CTTTGAGCATAAGCTCTCATGGCTTTGCTTTGGGCTTCTCAAAATACCTCATATCAATGGAGTTAGTATTCCTCACTTATAAACCCATGATCATTCCCTAAATTAGCCAATGTGGGACTTTCATCATCCAACAGAGATTATTTCATTTATTATCGATTACGATCTAAATTGGAGAGAGAGTGAGAAATTAGGAAGCTTATGGGGAAGGTTCCTTAACAATTGAAAAGGCTTTTGATGTGCCATTAAATTCTACCATTGACAAGTTGTTTTCATTTCAGCCAAATTTGGCTAACTTAATCTACTCTACTGACTCAATCCAACTTCGTTAATCTACCATTTAATGTGTATTTATTTCAGTAGGTTTGTCTAATTCAAGATTTTAAATGGGTCGGATTCATATACGTGATTTGATATGTATTTATAACTTCACAAATGGTAAAGCTATATAATTCTGGATTCGATAAAGACCAAGTCTTTGTTACAATCTCGTAGGTTAAAGAGAATGATATTGTTAGAAAGTATGGTTCCGAAAGTGACTTTGTTTCACCTGTTCAGACTAAACTCCTCGCTTTACGTTAGCGGACCCACATGTTGGGTTAGGACTTTGCTCTCTTTCTTTCTGTGAGGGACAATGCTGGGGAGAGAAGGAATGTGTCGAGATGACAAACAACAAGACTACAACTCAATTTTGGATTTTCCCTCCACGAGATAAACCCAATACAAATTCAAGTTGAAGCTCGTACTTACAAATTGAGCTATGTTCATATTGACAATTTTTTTCGAGGGACAGAAAAAACTTCAATTTTATAATATATTTAATAGAGTTTTTTTTTTTTTTTTTTTTAATGATAATTAAATTTTTTCCTTAAAGAAATCCAAAATAGGGTTTGAAACTTATAAACTTTGAGAACATTTCAAAGGAAAATTGGATTTATCAAATAAATTAGTTAGTGGATTTGAATTGATCTTTCAAAAGACTTAATTTTTTTCCACACCCATTAATTAATTATTTATTTATTTATTTTATATATTTTATAATATTTTTTTCTCTATATATTTGTTATGGTCTGTGGAATGGCCTGTACTCTGTCCCCCCATTGGTCTAACACGTGCCAACCAACTATTTTCTAAATTATTATATTTTTGGACAAATCTAATTTCCTCTCCTAATTTATTAATTGTGTGCTCATTTTTATTATTATTGAATTTATTAATATGTCAAATAATTAAATGCATCCATTTCATTTTTTTAAAAAAATATTATAAAATAAAAAGACGGTACAACATAGATAATACATCAATTTTTATCCTAACATTAATAATTTGAACATATTAATTAATTTATTCACTGATATTTAAAAAAATTATATTTAATTATAATCATGGTTGATGCTAAAAATAAAAAATAAAGAGGTGTCACAAGCAAAAATTTTACTTTATAACAATAGAAAAATATTAATTAATTAACAATTAAATGATATAAAAGCTATAATAAATAATTAAATTTGTCGGAAAGTAGACAAGTATGACCATGCATATAAAATTATTTATACCAAAAATCCAAAATAAATAAATAAATAAATAAATATATAAAAATGTGTTCACACATTGTTTTTTTTATGGAAAATATACAATTTTATATGATGACGTGTGCGAGTGTTTTGAACTCAAATTATTTTATTTATTTATTGTCTTATTAATATTATGTTTAAAATAATATAGAATTTAACACTAAAAAAAATATTATTAAACACAAAGTTATTATTAATTTTTATAATATTTAGAAAAGAAAAAAGTCGCATAATCGAAGCTTAACTAATGAGGTTTCAAAGACTCGAATGAAATAAATTTAAAGGTTTATAAGTGAAAAGAGGATTTAAACCTAGCGTGTTATAGAATAATTGGTCATATAGTTTCAATCTTGTAGAATAATCTCTCGAGCTATGTGTCAAAGTCCAGTTGGAAAGGTCGGTATTCCTTACTTTTTTATAAAAAGTGAGGTGGGGACTTGGACTGCTAATGTTTTTGGAAGCTTACTTTTCGAACCCCTCATTTATAATACAATTGTGTTTTGTGACGGTGTGCAAACAAAAAGGTCAAACCTAGCTCCGTACTACGTGTAATAAATATCACGACTTTCCCTCGCTGTCCTCCCTCCTCTTGTTACCTTGATTCGAGCGACGAATATTAGTTACGGGACCTCATGCATATTTATGAATGATATATATCATAAATAAAATATTTGTTAGATGAGGCACGGTATCACCGACTTAATGTTAGTTTTCGTTGTTTGGTACAAAATCGTACCTCTAACTTTACCTAACTTAAATAAATAAAAGATAGTCAAGATTCTTCCAATAAATAATCCCATAAACTTAACATAATGGAACCTACGCGATTTAGTAAATAAATAAATAAAACTTTATTTTATTTTATTTTATTTCATATCAAATGTCAAACTTATATTATTGTTATTATTATAAGAATTTTCATTAATTGATAATTTCTTATTTACCACCGAACTCCAAAAAGCGAGGCAGATCTACAACTGTCACACGTGCAACCCCATGCAAAAAAAAAATATTTTTTAATTAAAAAAAATGAAGTGGCGATCAGTGTACTTTTGACCCGTACGAAACGAGTGGCACGTGAGTGGTGAGAGGAATTTACGAAGATGCCCATAAAAGAGAATTTGGTGGTGCCGGCGCCGCAGGATGGAGGGTGTGGAGGGCTATGATAAAAACACGTAGATGGTGGGTCACAGTCCAATGAGAGAGAGAGAGAGAGAGTTGGGGAAATGGTCAACGACGTCTTATGGTTTCGCATGGATTTGTCAGGAGTAACCGTCAGAGAGAGGGATTACGTGACAGCTAATACTCACATTGCAGTGATCTCCATAGAACGCGTTGTTTTATTTGTGCATTTTTGCCGCCAAGTCACCGACGCTTGTTTTGCGTTTTCCTTTGAATGTCGAAAAGTGCACATTGGTACTTTTTGTATTTTTCTTTTTTTTAAAAACACACTTCACCCACACGACACGTCGAAAGGTTAGCATGAGTGACTTTCGTGTTCGGAACACTTTCGATTCGATAATAGCAAATAGGATAATTTGCTCTTATTGAACGTACTAATTGTTCATTCTCTCTCTTACCCGTGTGTACATATCTCAAGCCGCCTTTTCGTAGTTACGTTAGAAGCTTGTGGTCAACGACCACCTTCAAGGGTAGTTTTTTCGTTATTGGGTGAGAAGAGAGTGGTTGTATGTGAGATTCCACGTCGGTTGGAGAGGAGAACGAAATTTTTTTTTATAAGTGTCTATAAACATCTTCTACTGTAAGAACACAAATTGAAATGGAATAGATTTATCTATATAAAATATTATAATTTTTTAGGTTTATGGAATTATCATGAGTTTATAAATAAGGAATACTATCTTCATTGAAATGAGGCGTTTTGGGAAGTCCAAAGCAAAACCTTGAAAATTTATGCTTAAAGTGAACAATATCATACCATTGTGGAGGTCGATGATTCTTAACATGGCCACAAAATGAATTACGACCATTAATATTATGAGCCATTAATACCCATTGACTCAAAAATTGTGGCAATTTTTTACCAATTCTAAGCTCATCAATGATGAATAATCTATGTTATCAATGAATTGGAGTGGCAACTTATATAGTTGCCACACCCATCAAATCAATCGTATATTGTGCATGTGTCAAGAAGCTTCGCTATAAGCCATTTCTATACCTAGCACATCAATTAAGACTCGTTCATCACTGGTACGCATTGCTGATAACGTCTTAAAATGAATTATTTATGTCTTATCTCACGTGTGCGTTGTTTCTTTCGTGTGTTTATTTGTCTATTTTGTAAGGGATGAGTGATTTTAAGTCAATCGAAGCGTTTTGGATGAATAGAGACAAAATGAGATATTTTGTTCTAAATTGACCATCTGGGTCAATAGAAAATGAAGATTAAGCTCAAATTCATAAGAAAATAGTGTCTCAATGTTTGTTGCGATGCTCTTAAGCTTTAGGAGTTGTATTGATAATGTTTCGACTCTGATATGAAACGTCTCAACGTTGAATTTTCATTAACAATGTTGTGCTCAATACTCTGAATTGTGCTTGATGTTTGAATGTTGATAGCATCTCGACATTACCCACTAGCATCTCAACAACATAAACACGTGCACACTTCCTCATCCATTTGAAGCATCTCAACCTTGATATTAGCTTCTCGATGCTGCTTCATATACTTGAGAGCTTTTATCTCAATATTGTCTTATTGAACTTTTGTATAAGATTATATCTATGACGGATTTAGCTATATCGTTAAGATGAACCGCTAAAATTTGTGTTTTAATTTACGAGTTGGTTCAAGTTCAATTGTTACACTGTGAGGCTACCGGTATTTAAAAATAACAACAATAAAAAAAAATGGTGAGACAGTTTTCATATAGCACTTTTATACCCGCCTTTTTTCGATCATGCTATCTCTATCGTGATTATTGGTTTCCTCAATCTCACTTATCTGGTCATCGTCGCTCTCTCTCTCTCGTCATTTTCTCTTTTTTCTATCGTTAAAACATATCACCATTGATTAACTTAAGACACTACTGTGGAGTCACTCTCGATCGTAAGCCAATATCAAGTTTTCATGCTCCTCTTGTCGTGACTCTCTCGTACTCACCTCCATCTTCGATCTACACTCGGTTCAAGCCACCATCACATCTCAGTCTCTCGATCTCCTCGCGACAATGTCACGAATAAGGAACATTTAAGATATTAACGACCTACGAAAATTTTTGAACCCATAATTTTATTTAATTATAAATAAATATCTTTAACTGATTCTATTTTATTTTTAATAGAAGCTTAAAATTGATATTTAAAATTATTTATTTTTATATAAAATTGATAAATCTCTAATATAACAGCGCGGTCGGTTCTTTTCTATATATTTATTTAATATTGTATATAGTTCTTTAATCTTCAGCTGAAAACTATGCCCTAAACTTACAAATCTGAAGGGCCGCCGTCTGTTTCTCGTAGGAGACTTCAATTTCATCTTCGTGCCCTAATTTGTTCTTCAGCTGCGCTCGATTTGCTCCATCTTCAAGGTATCCCTCACTTTTTCTCTCAAGCATTAACATTCACATTCACGCAACACTTCCAAATCTTGGCCAGTGCATTTTTATAAACACTGAGCATCTTGCATCGATCTGTTCTCGCTTCACTATTTTGAGGTAATTTCCTCCAATTTCTGGCTTTTAATTTCGTATATTCATGTGGGATTCCATCAAGTTAAGGTTTATTGTTACGTTGTAGCTGCGTACTTCGTTTACTGGATTAATTTAGCTGTGTTGAGAACTTGTCATGACATGTTGAAATACTCTTTAATGGTTAACTCTTGTTCACTTGCTCAGGTACAGCGAGATTCTTGGACAGCCGGCCCCTGTCATTGGTTACTGTGCAAATGAGGGGTAGGAGTTACACTCCATCGCCGCCAAGGGGTTATGGCAGGAGGGGCAGGAGCCCTAGCCCTCGGGGACGCTATGGTGGTGGACGTGGGAGAGACCTTCCCACTAGCCTTCTAGTTCGTAATCTTCGCCATGACTGCAGGTTTGTTCTTGATGAGTTTGTTTGTTTTTTTGCCCTCAAAAGTTCTATAGAAAGTCTCGAGAAGGAATGGAAATCGTTTTATTTTGTTTTGCTTTGATAGGAGATACATCGTAGTATCAAGAAAAAAAAAAATGGTGGAGAGGAAGGGGTAACAACGAGCCACTTTGTCCAGATAACGGAGTTGAAGAGGCTTTTCCCTGGAGTATTAGAACATTAGAATATTGATGAGAATTCGTATTTAGACAGCTTCGGAAAGAAGCAAAATGCCCTGGACCAGAGAACCTTGTTTAATCTCTTTCTTTGTCTTCTAAGAGCCTTCCATTTCTTCCTAGCTTACCTAGGGCCCATTTGAATCTCCACCCACATGTGGTTAAGGGTGCCCCTAGGTTCGCTCACTTTGTGTTTGGGTTTGGGTATTCACCAACCCTCAATTAGGCTTGCTGTGATGTGGCTCAGGATCTGTTTAACTTTAATTTTTATATCTTCAACGAATCTTGTGGAAATCTACCATTTTTTTTTTCAGCTGTAATTATTATTCAAAATACTATTTATTTTTTGTGTCAATGTTTCTGTTTTGCATTAAGCAAAATAAGTTTTTCTTAACAGCCTTGGAGGGTTGTTTTGCCCAAGCATGCTTGACACTTTAAAAACATTGTTGCCACCTTACTACATTATGTTTGTGTGTGTTTTACCACTATTGTACTTTTTCTTTAAGAAGACTAAAGCTAAGTTATAGAAATATATTAGATTTTCTTTCATTTTCTTCTCTCTCGCTGCGCCCTTAGCGGAATCAGAAACTCTCCTGCATGGCCATAGTTTTATCCAAAGTATTGATTCTTTTCAATCTCATTTGGGTGCTAGGATGCAGTCTTGTAGTCGGTGGATGGGGGGTCTTTCATTCTGTAAGATATTTCAGTTTCACTCTTTCTCCCACTTATCATCTCTCTGTGGGACTTATATTCATGTAATTTTATGTGGTGGCATGTTCTTGTTCTGATTATCAAGTTTCTTTATATATCTCTACGTGATTTGTAATTAGGAATAGATTGCTGTATCACTATTCTGGAACTTAGTACTGCATATTATTTTTTAGAGAAATGCTTTTGCTCCATGCTGTTATTCTTCGTAGCTTACTGATCAAATTCTTAGTAAGAATATGATGAAATCTTGTGTGCCACTCATTTATTTCTTTTAATGCAGGCCCGAGGATCTTCGTAGACAGTTTGGACAGTTTGGTGCTATTAAGGACGTATACCTACCAAAGGACTATTATACTGGGTGAGCGTTTCTTAGCTGTATGTAGCTTGTGGTTCTTTCGTACTGATGTTAATTTTTTATTGATAAAGGGAAGTTTTGCACCTCGCTCTTATGGTTTTCAAAGAAATTGTTTAAGTTTTACCCAATATCTTTAGTTTCTAACAAATGCTTGATATATTGCTTTGTTCCTAACATTGTGGTTATTTTCTATGTTGCTTTGTCATATTGGTTCAGAGGCAAGGGTAACAAAGAAATCGTATTTTCAATCATTTCCATGCATCTTTTGGACAAAATGTTTGTAGTTCAATCTATGGAAAACAATGTTCATGAATTCGTGAAGCAGGCCCTACTTCATGTTCATCTTTCAAATTATTCATTTGATGATGGGGGCATATTTTCTTTCTGGTTCTTTTTTTTTTGTTTTGTTTTTCCTTATCACGTATCAAGTCTGTGTATTGAATGTTTGAAGATTTAACAGTGAAACTAATGTTTTGAAGAAGACATCAAGTAATTAGAGTTCTATTGAAGATGATGTTAATGGTAGTGAAGATTGGAAGGAAGTTGGATTTGATTACATAGAAGATGTTCCAAGTCTTGAAGAATTTCAAGTCATCTTAAATCTGACACATGCAAGGTCAGCAGCCAAGTGCTTGCTTTATTATCACAGACCTTCCATATTGCAAGGGATATGATGGACATTATTATTAGAAAAGGTTTAGGGCAGGCGAAGTACCTGACCTGATTCTGTGGCTTTATATTTTCCTTTTTGTAACTTTTTTTCCTTTTGATTTATTTGTCTGACAATTTTGCAGAGAGCCTCGTGGTTTTGGTTTTGTTCAATATGTAGATCCTGCCGATGCTGCAGATGCTAAACATCAGATGGATGGCTGTGTTCTTCAAGGTCGGGAGATAACTGTGGTATTTGCTGAGGAAAACAGGAAGAAGCCATCTGATATGAGGGCAAGGGAGAGAGGAAGGTATGAAGCTTCCTCCTAATATATTTATGATTCTTTATAGACATGGATACTTGTATTCAACTGTGAAATAATTTTGTGCATTTGCATATGTTTTCCAACACTTGTGCTCACGGGAGTTTGGGATGGCTTTTGAAAGGAAGCTCTTTCTTAGTATTTTGGAATCTTTGATATCACTTTTAACTACGGTAACTATTATATAATATAAATTGGAAACTGCTTTTAATGGGCTGAAAGAACTCATCCTATTAGTTCACACTGCCAAGTTTAATATTGCATATCCGAAACGAAACTAATATTTCAGTTGTACAAACAGTGGACGGTTTCATGATCGTAGAAGATCTCCTCCACGGTATTCTCGTTCTCCTCCTCAACGCCATGCAAGGCGTTCTTTTTCACCAGCTCCACGCCATGCAAGGTCTCGGTCTCGCAGTTATGATTATGCATCCCCCCCACCAAGACAAAGGGCGTACTCTAGGTGTGATTTCAATTTGTTAGCTATTTGATCTCCAGTTCTGTATTTTTCTAGTATAATTTCTATGATTCCCTTTGGTAACTTCATTTTGAGCTTCAAGTCTTTCAATATGCCAATGCAGATCCATATCCCCGTCTCCACGTGGCAGACGGGATAGTCGAGAGAGGTCCTACCCACGACAGCCAAGCCGTGGTATGTCGTACTCCCAATCCCCACAACTTGATGGTGCAAGAAGTAGAAGTCAGAGTCCAGCACCACGGGGTGGAAGTCGAAGTCCAAGCCCTGTAAGAGGCCGAAGGCTGAGTAGGAGCAGGAGAAGGAGCAGAAGCATTAGCCAGAGCCGAAGTCCACGACATAGTCCAAGACACGAAGAGGAGTATAGAAGTGAACTGAATGGCGGAGGTAGGAGCCCTAGTCGATAACAACCATCCCGCTCAGAAGTTGGGGAAGAAAAACTACAATGTACTATTTTGCCACATTTCGTTTGAGATTTCCCGCTAGAGACATCTTTTCGTTTGTATTGTTGGGCAGCGTTTTTTTTTTTTTTTTTTTTTTTTTTTTTTTTTTTTTTTTTTTT